GGAGAGTAGAAGGGGAATGGAAGAGGAAGGGAGGATAGGAGGGAATGGGAAAGGAGGAAGAGGGTGAGGGAAATAAGAGGAGAAGAGGGGAGAAGGGAAAAAAAGGATGGAGAGTAGAAGGGGAATGGAAGAGGAAGGGAGGATAGGAGGGAATGAGAAAGGAGGAAGTAAGTGAGGGAAGGAAGAGGAGAAAAGGGGAGAGGGGAAAAAGGATGGAGAGTAGAAGGGGAATGGAAGAGGAAGGGAGGATAGGAGGGAATGGGAAATGGAGAAGAGAGTGAAGGAAGAAAGAAGGGGAAAGGGTGAAAGAGGGGAAGTGCGAAATTGAGAAAAGGAAGGAAGGAAGGGAGAGATGGGAGAAGAGGATAGGAGGGAAAGGGAAAAAGGGAGAATGGGAAAGGAGAGGAAAGAGGGAGGATAGGAAGGAAGGGAAAAAGAGAGGAACGGAGAGGGAAAAGGGAGGTTGTGAGGGGGGAGGGAGCAAAGACTTCACAGTATTTGGGAAAGACGTGTGTGTGTGTGTGTGTGTGTGTGTCTATCTGTGTGTGTGTGTGTGTGTGTGTGTGTGTGTGTGTGTGTGTGTGTGTGTCTATCTGTGTGTGTGTGTGTGTGTGTGTGTGTGTCTATCTGTGTGTATGTGTATATGTGTGTGTGTATGTGTGTGTGTGTGTCTGTGTGTATGTGTGTATGTGTGTATGTGTGTATGTGTATGTGTGCACGTGTGTCTCTCTCCACCCAAGACCATCTTTCCAACGGCCTATAGACTTAACATGCTATATATGGAGCCCTTCTCGATTTAGCTATATTTTTGGACGTAGTTAATTAGGAGAAAATAATGTCCTTAAAACGCAGCCTTGTAATAGACAGGGAACGGATCTACGAGACACGAGGGAAGAGGTTTTTAAACAGGTGAGATTTTTTTTTTTTTTCAATTCTGTCGTCTTCTGTTTTTTATGTTGTTTTAGATTAGTATTTATTTTTTTATCGAGAATCTATACTATACTTAAATATATTTCCCTTTTTATTACATAGGAGGGTTTGTGTGTCAAAAGCAAAAATGTGAAAATTATTATTAGATTTAATCCCCTAAATATAACTTATATCTGATTTGGAAGTAAAATTTTGGTTTTAAATGAAAGAAGGAAATTCCTATTTTGAATGAAAAAAAGAAAAAAAATATATAAATTGTCTTTGCATGGGACGAGAAATGTACAAGAAATTCTGTGTTTTTTTATAGGCAGCGTTGCGTAAATGAAATTCGAATCAGTACGAGGACAGGAAATTTAGAAATAAAATAAAGTGAAATTCATATTTACATAAAGAAGAGTCGGTCCAGATTTACAGTGAGGCATAGTTTAAGTTATTCAAACTTTTTTTTACAGCATGAGAAATTTATATTTACAGATATTTAAATTGTTACATCTTGGAGGTCTTAGAACTTACAATTACTTATAACGACTAGTACTTATAACTTATAACAAGATATACTTACAAGTCAGAACACGTACTTACGACTCAAAAGCACTCACCACTTATAACAACTACTTACAGTACTTACATCATACAAGAAGCACTTACATCTTACAAGAACCACACGCAAACTTACAATAGTACTTACAAACTTAAAACCAAGTACTTACAAACTTACAATAGTACTTACAAACATACAAGTGCTTACAAACTTACAAACATCCACCAAGTACTTACAAACATCCTCTAAGTACTTACAAACTTACAAGTGCTTACAAACATCCACCAAGTACTTACAAACATCCTCCAAGTACTTACAAACTTACAAGTGCTTACAAACATCCACCAAGTACTTACACACATCCTCCAAGTACTTACAGACTTACAAGTACTTATAAACTTACAAGTGCTTACAAACATCCACCAAGTACTTACAAACATCCTCCAAGTACTTATAGACTTACAAGTACTTATAAACCTACAAGTGCTTACAAACATCCACCAAGTACTTACAAACATCCTCCAAGTACTTACAGACTTACAAGTGCTTACAAACATCCATCAAGTACTTACAAACTTACAAGTACTTACAAACCTCCACTGACGCCCCCCCTCCCACTTCCAGGCAAAGGTGACCTAGTCGGTAGTGACGTCGATGTTCATCTGAGCTCCGGACCAGACACGCCGGTGAAGTCATCCTGTGACGTCAAAGCCCTGACCTACTGTGACCTCAAATCCATCTACATCGCGGGTCTCCTGGACGTCCTCAAGTTGTACCTCGAGTATCAGCAGCAATTCGCCAACGACATCAAGCACGACCTGACTTACAACCTGCGGGAGGGATACGATAGTGAGGTACGTTGGTGGAGTGGTGAGTGGGGACGGGGGGGGGGGGGGGGGAGAGAGGGGAGAAAGAGTGTGAGGGGGAGAATGAGAGAGAGGGGGGGAGGAGGAGAGGGAGAGGGAAGGGAAGAGAGAGAGGGGGAGGGGAGAGAGGAGAGGAGGGAGAGGGGACAGACATGAGAGACAG